CTATGCTCTTAGACCTACCTAGGAACATCGCGGTGCATTTTTCTCTGCGTCTCAGGGCATTGGAATTAATACATTATTTGAAATTATACATTGATAAATTTAATATCCTTTCCCTGGCCGTCCACCGGCTTCGCTTTCGCGAGAGATTAAGCTTGGACATGTCTTGGGCTCAGTGAGGCAGGTTTTTTATTATGTTTGTAGTGTTTTCTCGAAGTATTGAGAATTTGTGGTCGATGATCTCCATAGAACAAGTTGCTCATAATAGGATGTGAACAGGAGGCTAAATCTTTCACAGATTATCTAAGAACACTCTTTCTGGACTTGGAATGGTAATTCACAGTGGAATTTAAAAATCTTCAAAATTCGTTAGGGCAGAGAGCGTCAGGCACGGTATGCTGAAGGCGCTGGTTCGATTACAGCCGGATCAACCGACTATTTCTTAGTATTCGATCTTTGTATTAATAATTAATTATACCAAACTATTATAAAAAATAATTGAATATCATGGTAGTAAAATATCGTTATATTTAGTAAACATTATAATCTTCAAAATTCCTCAAATAATAAGGGCCAGCCCAAACCCACAGACGGCAAGGCAGAGTATATTAAATTTATCGATGTATATTTTGTACTATTTCAATTGGTATAAGGTATAAAATACATTGCTCTGAGACCGACCACGGTTCATCGCGGTTAATTTTATGTAATAATAAATTAATGTCTTTTGCCTTGCAAGCCTCCAGTTTGCGCTAGCTGTACATCTTTATGAAAAACATTATTGAAGTTTCGCAACACGCGTCTAAATCTAAGATCTTTAGCACTTATAATGTGGCTAACCGGGGAGTAGGATTTTAGAGAGGGGAGAATTCAGTTTTTACGATGTATTGAATCGCTGCGCGCGCGCGTGACGACCGACCGATTACGGGCCATTGTTTTGTTCGACCGATATCACAATCCTTCGTCGTACGCTATTTTACTGATTTCACAAAACTACAATAATGTATAGAAAATTTGTTTATCTCGACCTTTGCTTGGAATTACTGGACGAAATTACTGTAATTGGTGCATTGTTGTACAATGTCAACCGCACTTCACATCCTATTGCGAAGTACTGGTTTCTTCTGGGGCATAGCTCTCAAAACACAGGGTTTTACCCAGTTAGAGCACCAATTTTTTAGTTACATTTCTTTGACATGCTGTGACATTCAACAGTGTTGTGTTTTTTTTATGTTTATAATACCAAGTGACGGGACTAACAAATCGTGCACCTGGTGTGAAGCGACACACCTGTCCACATCAGTTGCAGTGCCACTCAGAGCTTTAAATCGCAAAGATCAGTAGAGCTAGCACAAGGCGCGACTAACGCAAGGGCGACATAAAGCGTGAATTACTGCTATTTTCGCATAGAAATCTCGCCACTGCGCCCGTCACCCTGATAAGTTGACAAGTCCCATGTGTCTGTAATATCACCAGCACCCTTGCCCTTCTAAACCGGAACGCAGTAATACTCAATATAAAATCAAAATGTAACAATGTGCCAATCAACCAAGCCAATTTGCCTGGTTTCCAACTAGAGAATTCCCTGTATTATGAGTACCAGAGCAATGAATTTTACATTCAGAACATCCAGACCACACCCAACTTAGAAAAGTTCATTTCATAAATCGGTCTCACAGGGAAGCGAACCTGGGACCTCTACATCTAACGTCATTATTGTTTCACACAGACGCAAACTTGACTTAAAGTACAATGCAGACTTATTCCCTGAACGCTATAACTATATGCTATAACTTGGACTATAACTTCAGGGCAAGAGTAAATAAAATGCTTATTTAATGGAATAATCTACATTACCCAGATTAGTACCTGTGTAAATACGTATTACTTTCTTATAAAAGGCACATAAGTTACCAATGAAGTTCTTAAACATTTCACAACAAAAAAGATGCCAAACACACATTTAATGGTAACACACACATAAAAATTTTAAAAAACAATATTAGAATGGCAGGGGGTTTAGGCAAAACAAAATAGAATTAGCATGTGATCTACCAAACAAATTTGAGAACCTCTTTTATAGACTAACTCGTTACACAAAATTGCAAAATTATGGAGTAATAATGGTCGATTAATTTGACAGCCCTAAACTAAAAGGAAACCAGTACCTTTCTTAATGACTTTTAAAGGTCAAAAATGCAGTGAATACCAACAGTGTTAAAAAAATATTATGTAATGTTTTTCTCATAACTTTTTACCCATTTATTTGGGTACTAAAACTGTATACAGGAATTTTACTTAAATCGTAAACGGTATTTTAAAGTATTAAGCCAAGTATTTTAAATTAATTTATAAACACCATAATTATTTAAGTTTATTGAATGCTTCGAGTATATAACCAGAAATAGAGACGAAATAAGGCCATCCATCCCTGGCAACTCGTCAGGCAAATGGGCCTTATATCACTTTTAAATATCAACTCTCGTTTGCACTGAAATCACAAATTAGAAAGCTGAAATAGTACAGCGCCAACAATTGACCTTTATGTACTTCTCCGTATATTCCAAAAATATTCTGTATTTATTGTAATAAAGATAATATCTCTAACTATGGGCGGCTGTTCCAATCGGTGGTATGGGAAAAACAGCAAAACATCTAATTACAAAACCAACGGAATCACATTTAATCGCTAATTAAATATTAAATATGTAATTTTTCAATTTTCGTCCATTATAGTAAAGCTCAAGTTAAACAGGTCGATTTGAAGTGAAACAATTGACGACACCCGTCAGTTGTTTCGAATTCGGGCTGGCCAATAGGAGCGCAGTTGTCACCGTAATGATATGGCAGGATAGTTTTCAAACAAATTAAATGACATTTCGTCTCTACTTCTGGTTATATACTTGATGCCAGCGTTTTATTCTAAAACTGATGACGAATGATACACAGACGTACAATTTTTTTAATGCACATTTCGCATTGTTGCAGCTCAAAGGACGATGAGATCGACGGCAACTGCATAGTGCGTGCGCGCGGCCTGCCCTGGCAGTCCTCCGACCAGGATATTGCCAAGTTTTTCCGAGGACTCAATGTCGCTAAGTGAGTATACTTATTATCTATGCTATATATATAGGATACAATTTAAATAAAATTCGATTACAACTGTTTCTGTGTTGTGAAGGTTTTTCTTAGTAATTTATATTAAACGTACTATCGTCTTGATTATGAATAGAAAGATCGAACATATACAAATTTTTTTTCGTCGACCAGGTGGGATTTGAACCCACGTCCATGCTGCACCGTAGCATTGCTCTAACCATCTGAGCCACGGCTCCAGTTACCGAGTCGTCGAAATTTTCGCATGTGTTTTTGTTATAAATCTTTGTGCCGACTTTTCGGTATTCGTCACCGCTAGTGACATGTAATGAGAGATTTTTTAATAATCTTCTCATCGCAGCCATATATTCATAATCATAACAAAACTGGTGGAGTTATTTCACAAAAAACCTCAATTAATACACTATCGTGTTTTTAAATTTGTCACTTGAATTTTATTTCATCCTGTATTACAAACGTTTTACAATACTGTATAAGTGTACAAACAACTGCACATCAGGCTATACACTTCTATTCGAATATCGCCTCCAGTGCAGCGGAACAAGGTCCGTCACTGTTAATAAATAAACTTCTTGAAAATATAGAGAAAGGTCTGAAATGATTTGTGGAATAAAATACTGAATGAAATACTGTCTTGCTGCCAAGTCCCTTCTTTGCAATATGAAGCATTATAGAAAATTTCGTGTTTTTTTTTGCCAATATTGTATGTACGTATTAACACTTTATTATACTACAAACAAATTACAAATTAGAACAAAGAATTTAAAATTGGTCAAATAAAGTAATTTTATTGGTCGAAGAAAGAAATTTGGTAATCAGGGTTCATTATTGAAGTTCTCTTTATGGTATAATTTTCATGACAGTGAAATAATAAAAAAAATCTAAATAATTTTGGATAACATGGAATCAAAGCCAAAACAAAATTGCTTCCCCTTACGAAATGTATGGGACCAAGTTTGTATGAGGGAACCAAAAAGTTGATCGTTGATTCAACGTACATCTTTGGTGAAAATTGATTATTTACGTTTGTAATGTATATGACTTAACCCACAGACCACATAAAGTGACTTAACCTAACTTGGTGACGAAATGCTTTCATAGATGGCGCTACGGCTAAAAACCAAGTACAAAGATCCGACAAGCACATAGAGAAATTCTTGAGGTCCGCTGGTTCGTTCCGGGGCTTAGTTGGTATAGCGTCTGCCACGGTATGCTAGAAGACGTTGGTTCGAATCCGGTCGGATCGAAGGAATTTTTCTGAGTGTTCTTTGTATTAATAATTGTAACAAACCAGTTTCACGAAGAATAATTGAATATCATGGTGGTTTAACATTCTGGAATTCAATAAAAACTTAATGTATATGATAATTTAAGTTGAGTATGAAAATTTGAATTGAACTACATCTATTCATGATAAAGGGTATTCAAATAAAGTCACATCGTTATTCGTCGTTAAAATAGCTAGAGTTTGGAATTTTTTTACTTCATTATAATATATATAATTCATTCATTATAGTATATAATACTAAATTTTTCTTCCAGGGGCGGCGTAGCTCTTTGTCTATCACCACAAGGTCGACGCAACGGGGAGGCGTTGGTCCGTTTCGTGACCCAAGAACACAGAGACATGGCGTTGAAACGGCATAAACACCACATCGGACCACGATACATCGAGGTATGACCATGACTAAACGCACACACACACTCAACATAGCCCCGCACTAGGGAACCCTGTGTCGCCGGTGCCATGGACACGCACATAGACAACCACAAATTACACCCAAACTCACGAGAGAAATAAATGTAGGCCATACAAATATTTCTCCCGGCCCGGGAATCAAACCTGGAACCTCCGCGTGGCAGTCCGGCATGGTAACCGTTTGGCCACGGAGGCAGTTAGTTATGACTAGTTATGTAGTGTAACGGGCTGGTCCGCAATACGACGTTCAGGGCGTATTTTGCGTCTGGTGGGGGCAGGGTCCTACTATTGTGACTCAAGCTTGGCTCAAGTTGGAGAATTCGTTTCATATCCCAAAAACACGAGAGCCTTGGCGCTTAGACGGCATAACACCACTTTAGACTACGATATATCGAGATGTGACCATGACTACTTAATAGTGACTCTAAACTAAGAGAAGGAAGGGCTACGGTTCAAACAGGCAGAATGGAATGGTAGCGCAGCATAATAAACTTTATGTCAATTGTGTAATGTGCAAATTAAATACGATACTGTAGCTGCGGGAATTCCGTAGATATTCGCGTCGGGGCATTAATTTACAGACCTATCAGAAACGAATTGCAAGCCAAAAAAGCAGCTCTGCTGTCGTTCTTACCTTCGAGAATATTCCAGTATGATTAATCTTGGCAGACTGATTGATTTTATACTGGTTGATTTGTTGTTAATATATGTCACAAAATCATTTAGAAAGCTTTTTCATGCACCTTTAATAAGAATTTTGTGTACATTCTTCATAATTTTTTTATTACATAAAATCAGCATCCTAATCGCATCCGCATGTGTAAAATACCTGCATCAGTAACAATCCTGAGTCATTACATTATGAGTACAAAAATTTGCTAAAATTCCCTTCCGTGGAAATAATAAATCTCGGCGGTGACATTAGCTGAGTGGATCCTTTTACACACCCCACAGCCGCACACGTGATATCTACTTAGTACACAGTGTTGACTATCTTTGTGGTCATTTACTGATTACTAAGATTTTATTTCTTATTTTTTTTAGATTTATTTATAATTTTTTTTTGTCATTCTATTTTATTATTGTTTTAATTTAACTTTATCTTTTTTTTAAATTCTTACTGTGTATTTTTATGTTGTGGCGTTTTGTAATAAATTATTTTATTAATAACATAAGAGAGACCCTTAAGCAAGGCGTACGTCTCTTGTTGTGAAAGGCGCTAGTTCACTTCTTGCTTCAAGAACATCACAAAGATTTGACATTGGAGCACATCGATGTACACACTTTAGAGTCTATACTACCTCAGCTCGAATTCCAATTTTTCTCGTACTAACTAGGTTCATTTTGCTTGTTTTCTTTCGATTTCTTTTGAGATCGTATAGACTCTTAACACTGGTGGTTGAATTAAAGCTAGGCTTGAAAATGAAAGCAGTACCTAATAATTTGTATTATATTGTTTTTTTCTTTATTGAAACAGGTATATCGGGCCAGCGGGGAAGACTTCCTTTCAGTAGCAGGGGGTGCGACATGCGAGGCCGCGGCGTTTCTCTCGCGCGGCGCGCAGGTCATCGTGCGTATGCGCGGACTACCTTATGACGCCACTGCGCAGCAAGTGGTACGTTACTCAATTCCACGACGGTTTAACGCTAGAAGGTGTAATAAAATTATTCGGAAGGCTTTCTAGAAGTTACTTGACCGATATGGTCGTCGAAATCAAATATCATCCAGCATACATATATCGTACATCCTATTTATAACCCGATTAAATTTCAATTACTACGTGTCTATAGTGAACCATAAGGCAATAGAATCATCCGAACATGTTTCTAACTCTTGTTATATTTATACTTACTATGCTATGTACTTCAAAAAAGAAAAAATACATTGCACCCCCTGTAGAACTACAAATTTCAGGACGTTATTCCATTTAGGAACGTTTAACTTCTGTTAAAGATTTTATTTAATTTAGATTATAGAATTTTATCTAAGACACTTTGTTATAAGTTTTCCTATGCGTTTCTTTTCTCTTTAGTTATTTTCTATGATAATTAAAGCGATGATTTTGATACTTTATTTTTATCACATACATTAGAATTGTAGGAATTTTAAACAAAGTTTAATTTGTACAATTACCTATTACACTACATTTTTTGTCGTGGGAAGAAATTTCATTGTCTTTTTACAAGTGTATAATGTATTTTACAATACGGTTTATGTGTGTATACATAGCAGGTTTATGTGTGTGTATTTTTACTGCGGAACTCGCCTTTACTGCACTCCGTGAGGTCTAGCGAAAGAAGGACATGCAAAGCTGCGGACAGGCTCCATTTAACACTGTACATTCATTCATGTTTGTTGTTGCAGCTGGAATTCTTCTCAACGGGGGAGGACCCTGTGCAAGTGCTAGATGGAGCGGAAGGCGTGCTGTTCGTGCGCCGTGCCGACGGCCGCGCCACCGGAGACGCATTCGTGTTGTTCGCCAAAGAAGACGATGCCCCCAAAGCGCTCTCCAGACATCGGAATCTTATTGGCGCGCGATACATCGAACTATTTAGGTCGACTACAGCCGAGGTTCAGCAGGTGAGCTCTCAATCTGTTTTATCGGTTGAAAAGCAGCAATATGGATTAGTGATGGAAGTAAATAGAGGTGGAACCTATTCAGGCGGCTTACGCACTGACAGAGAACTCTACCAGCAATGAGGGTTCGACCCCACATGATAACGCGCTTAAGGTTTCATCAGTACGCTTGATCCTGACCAGCACGCTTCTGTGTCAGAAACTTTTAGGTTTTGACCTTTTACGCTTATTTGCCATAGGGTCACCTGTGAGAAACTTAACAAAAATTGAGGATAAACACTGATTACCATACGGTGTAAAAACACGATTCCCAAAAATATTCACGATAGAAAAGAAATTTTACAAGAAAGCCGCTGTATTTAATAGGTACCAATAATTTATTTTTATATTAATTGAACTAAATAGAACACGTATAGTATACGATATGTAAAACTACATTTTGCAAAAGGTTTTAATTTCGTTTGTTAAAAAATAAATTATGAAATAAAGCCAGTGTTCCTGCCGCTCGACCCTAGCAAAATGAACCGTATTAGTACGGGAAGAATTTGCATTCGAGCTAAGGTAGTATCGACTCTTAAACTAAACGTACTAATAAGAATGAGTCGCAAAAAGAAGAAGAATGCGTCGCAAATTCCGTCACTTTGCTACTGTTTTAACCCAAGTAGATATTACTTTTTTCGGACTTGTTTGCATTTATTAGTATTCGTAAATATAGCTATATCGTCGCCTGATTATTAAAACCTGTGTCCATTTTTTTTTTATTTGCATGAGAGGAAAAAGCTTTAAAAAACTTTTTGGCACATGATACTGGAAAGGAGGTGATTTTGAAAAATAGTGAATAGTGTGAGGGTTTAATGTGAAACATCATGTATTTCCTGATCCTCGTATCGTATGCATTAGTGCGTTTAAGCAGTTGCCTTCTAATTAGTTCCGACCGAACAGCCAGATAAAATAAAATTGTAACTCGAGATAGAAACGAGAAGTAAGTCAGTTAAGTTTCCGGTTTCAACGCGCTTTGGCCTAATACGATGCACTCGCTAGGTGCACTCAATAGGTACCACAACTATACTACGCATAATCTATTATACAAATTAATCAAATTATAAAACAAAAAATAAAACTGAACACAGAATCAATAAAAACACTAAACTAATAATGTTAAATGTACTGTAATGTAAACTATACTTATAATTCAAATAAGCGTTATCGCAAACTATCGATCGCGCCGGAAACTATATAGTGACATAATTTTCCATTTGAGTAGCAAACTTTAAGTATTTAATGTGTACGGTTGTTTTTATTGCGTTACAATTCTCATGGAATAACGGCATAAATTCGAATTACATCATATATTTTTTTACTCCATAGATAACGACGTAACACGTTCACAGCCTTCTAATCCGTGAAACAAACACCACATTAACAAATACCACAATATTGTACAAAATAGGTTTTTATAAAAAAAACCGACCTCAAAAGTTCGTGGGATACATCTATTTGCCAAGTTTTATTGAAATCGGCTACCGGAAAGTGCGCGAAACCGGATTCATCCCTTAGTTTGCCACCCTTAAAGGTGGAATATTTTCTTCAAATTTAAATGGGACCAATGGGGTAACCATTTCCAACAAAAAAATAATCATCAAAAAAGACACAAATATACATCAGCAACAGGCTTCATCACAAAGAAATTATTAATTCAATTCGCTAGACTTAGTCATTTCTATTTAACTATAAGAACAGGACCGCTCTGAATCTTAGCTGGCTCAAACGTCCCCTTAACACTGGCAGCATTACCACCCTGAATAGCAAACGAAATTTGTTTCTTGCCAGTATATGTCTCGCTAGCGACCGCGTAAAATATTTGTATACTAAATGTTGTTTCTTCTTGTGACCACTAGGGGCGCTGTATAATTTGCCATATAACATTTTTAAGTAATTTACGCGGTCGTTAGCGACAACTGTCACTATAATTGTAAGTCAAGACTGTCACAGTAAAATCGTGGTAGAGGCACTTATCATAACAAGCGTAATCGATATTTTTAGCGAAATTGAGTTATTAACATCTGAGATCAGTGAAACGAGATCTACGAGTCCTTCTAATCGGTTTTTTAATTAAAAAAAAATACGAGACGAAATACTTTCATAGATTTCTCATAGATGGCGCTACGGCTAAAAAGCCGTTGAAAAACCAAATACGAGGATTCGACAAAAAAAAAGCACGTAGAAAAATTCGTGAGATCCGCTGGTTCGTTCCGTGGCTTAGTTGGCATAGCGTCTGGCAGTTTGCTAGAAGACGTCGGCTCGAAAACGGCCGGATCGAAGGATTTTTTTCTGAATGTTCGATCTTTGTATTGATAATTAACTTAACAACATTAGTGGAGTAATTTCACAAAAAATTACGAATATCATGGTGATAAACATCCTGACATACAATGACATATTTAATTTTAAAAAAAACTTTAGGTGCCAATGACTTGAAATTACCGAAATGCAAATGCGTTAGTAGTTAGAGTGTAAACATTATCGTCGAATAAATATCAATATTGCGCATTTACCAATGCACATAATCCAATCATAAATTTGCGAAAAACTTAACGACATTTCATACAATATTTTTAACTGCTTTGACATAAATTTAAACAATAAGAATTTCGTATATTAGAAAACATTACAACAAAACTGTGTTTCTTTGTTCCGTGCTAAGAATAAGTGATTTAAAGTTTTTATTGTACATTTGCCTGAACATATATTAAGTTAGCTAGCTACCAAATGTAATAACATAAAAATAAAAGCGCACACAAAAAACACTTTAAAAAGTGATTGTGTTTTATTCTGGCATGGCCATAGCGAATTTACACACACGCACACAATAGCTCGCAGCGAGTACGTTTCTATTGTGGTGTATTGTGTTACTAAGCCAACGAAATTACTAACGATCAATTAAGTGTAAAGCAATGACTTCATTAGCAAGCGTGGAACGATTATTTTTACTAAAGACAAACAATTTCATCAACGATTGCATCTTGACATTGTACGCAGGAGGTCAGCAATGTTTCCTCTCAGGATAGACAATCTTATTCTTTGACGAAAGTAGCTGCCAGCCGTCTGGTCGCTTCTTAGGATGGAAAAAATAGTCTAAGGGCGCATTTATTCGACACGAATTCCATCGCACTCATGTTGTCATGGCAAAGTACGCTCTATTTATTTAGCTTTTATGTTTTAACATAAATGAGCGTCTTCGGCGCGCGGTCCAAGCTGGCTTGTCTTTGATCTACGCGGAGACCGCGCGGCGGCTGCGGGATTGTATTATTCAGAGGAATTTAAATGTTGTTACCTAGTAAATAGAAATCAGAATCGCCATTAATGTACGCGAAAGCGTGGTAACTGGGCGGTGGCCGCGAGGCGAAAACTTTCACGTATTTGTAACTGGGCGCTGAGAGTCGCTTCAACGAATTGAAAGAACTTTGGCTTCCTATTTTGACACTTGTTTTGTAATAATAAATTTGAATATCCCGATGTTTTACTACTTAAATATTTTTTTTGCGAAATTACTCCATTAGTTTGTTATAATTATTAATACAAACATCGAACACTATGAAGAATTCTTTAGATTCGGCTGGATTCGAACAAGCGCCTTCAGCATCTCGTGGCTGACGCTCTCCCAACTGAGCCACGGAACGAACCAGCAGACATTAGGAATTTTTTTACGTGCTCTTTTCTATGTTGAAGATCTTTGTCTTTGGTTTTTAACGACTTTTTGCCGTAGCGCCATCTGTGACAAATGTATGCTGGTGAAGTTACAGGCACATGGGACTTGATCACTTATGTCTCAGGATGTCGGGGGCAGTGGCAGTGTCCCTCAGATCTTAGTGATTTAAAGCTCTGAGTGGCACTGCAACTGTTAGGGATAGGCTTGTCGCTTACCACCAGACACACGACTTATTTTACCATCACTTAGTGTTATTAAACAACAGAAAAATGATTGTTCTTTTATATAAATTTTTAAGACTTTAAAGGCCTAAAATATAGGAATACATTAGTTTTACATTAAAATAAATTTTTAAATTGATCAAAATCCAGACTTTTTAAAAGAATAAGAAGCTTTCACTTTACATCATCTGATATCTGCGTCTACTAACAATATTTATCACACGTTCCATGGTTATAGTGAGGCATTCTATAATATATATTTCAAGGATGTACGTATCGGATGCTCAGGACTACTCGATAAGTTACCAAAGAAAACAATCGGACGTTCGGTAACTCTCATTCGATGTGTTCTGAATAACGTACGGGTGTGACGTCATTTCGGTTCGGTTTCGAATACGACAGTTTGACGTTCGATTCGGTTATTCGGAATAAAAATGAAAAGAAATAGTACGATATCAAATCGAATCGGTCGACAACCGAGTTATCGTAAGGTCCTGAATCGACCTGCATGTATCTTAAGCCATCGAATGTATGTAACCTAAAAACTGAAACGACCTTTCTTTTGTGTGCGTTACATTGGCACATCCGCCTTCATGATTTGGTTTTATAAATTATTCAAACACGAATTATCAGTAACAATTGAAAATTATATTCTAAATGTATGCAGAGATATCTAAAAAAAATCACAATTTCATATACATAAACTGTTTTTATTGCTGGCACTATTTTTTTTTATTACCAAGTATGAAGTATATTTAATCGCGTTTTTGGTATAGATATTTCAGTTGCTATCTTTGGCACGTGAATTTGATCATATTGCTATCGGAAACAGTGACTTTATCATTAGATTATAAGGTTGATTTCTCAGTGTTTTACATTTTTAAAAAGGTGTCAGTCAGGGTTCATTTCCAGGTTATTATTTTGTACCCGATTTCGGTGGCAATTTTTGTTATTTAAATATTCTAGTATATTATCATGGAGTATTACTTAATATTCGAGTGTATTAGTGAAATTTTAAAAATTATTTCAGGATACTAGTTCCTGAAATAATTTTTAAAATTTCACGGTACACTCGAATACTTAAATGATAAAAATTACCACCGAAATTAGGCAGAGAAAACTAATCTGAAAATTACCCATAGCTACTTTAGGTTGTGGTCATCCAATTTGTTTCTAAAAACTAAAATAAATATAGTTGCAATTGTATATACGCTATACCTACTATATACGTCTACAATGCATGTGGCTATTAGAATAATTTTAAATGAACAAAGTAATTAAAACATACGTACGTTTTGAATTGAATTTTCACTCAATTTATCGTTAATTTATGCTCTTAGCCAGCGTTTGAGGAAAGATGGTAAGTCTATTTAAAAAAGAGGTGGTATCCTCGGCAATGGCACAGTCGGCTGGGGTCAGGGACTCAGGTCCTCGAACCGGCGAACAATACGTGCGTATCGAGCAGGACCGCCTTCTGCATTTGAGCTGGAAGCGACACTATTATTATTATTATTTAGACTCACGCCTCTCCCAAGGCTTAAAAGATTATTTTGAATTTTTAAATGGGAAAGGCGGTATTCCCCGGCAATTATTATTATTTTGGGCCCTTTACAGGTCCTGAAACGTCGATTTGTTTGAAAAAACAAATATACGCGATTTATATCCGGAAAAATAGTTTCATTTATTATTATTAGTAACCTATCATAAACTCGATTTTTTTTTCCGAAATAACATTTATTCGAATTTTCATTACACTGAAAACCGAATTATAACGAAACCGTTGTTCTTTCAGGATATACTGGATGTTTATCGCAAAGACACGATTAAGTTCGGTTAGGTTAGGTTAAGTTAGGTTTGAAAGAAAAAACATATTCCTCTCAAAATTACTTTCGAGGTTATGAAATTTCGACCAAACGTTATTTCTGGAAAATGACATTTCGGACTTCTGATAGGGAACCATTAGTATTATGTTTTGTGTTTTTAAAACCTTCGAATTTATAAAATACTGAAATAATCCATAATCTCTCCAGGTACTAAACCGGTCATTAGAGACTCGCACAAGTGCAGCCAGTACTCCATCGACGGCCACTGCCCCATCTGAAGGCCTACTGCCAGTGGCATTAGTGCCACAGCATGTCATTACATCCGGCACCGCCAAAGACTGCGTCAGGCTGCGGGGACTGCCTTACGAAGCACAGGTTGGTACTCTAAACCTTAAAGAATGGAAAAAAATAAAGGAAAGGAGCTGCCCTATCTACGGAATAAACGTACCTACCTAAACCAAAATTGTAATTGTAAGTCAGTATCGACATGCTAATGTATGGCTTGAATGTTGAAACTGTTTTTTATGTTTGTATTTGGTTTCTATAGTCTAAACTCTAAACGCACCCAGTTGAAGACAGCTGTCAAATCGAATGAAACTTTTTGTGACAATAGAAATTTTAGTTACATTTTCTGTAGACATTGAGTAAGAAAGTATTAAATCGAGATGTTGGAAGCTGTGGTAGCCTAATGCTTTGACCTACCGCCTCTCAAGCAGAGGGTTGTGGGTTCGAATTCGGGTTTGCATCTATGCGTTTTTTAAAATAACTATGCGAAATTGAAAATTTACCATGAGCTTTTCGGTGAAGGAAAACATTTTGAGGAAACCTGCAAACATGCAAAGCAAAAAATGATAATATGTGAAGTTCCCAATCCGCATTACGCCCGCGTGGGAACTACAGTCCTAACAAACCATCTTATTGTGAGAGGAGGCCTGTGCGCAGTGGGACCAATATAATGGCTATATATAAGCTGAGATTTATAAAACGAACTTTGACTCGACTTAGCAAAGATGGCGAACTAAGCAAGTTTTTCTTATTTACAATACAAACTTTGCTTATAGAAAATAAAGTTTTAATAGTAGTAGAAGCTCCTTGTGACACAGTTTGTCCAGGGAAGTACTGCCACTTTACCTATTTCGGTTTCGGAGAGTAAGGGTGCATGTGAAATTACACTACTCTACTTTCGTCTCTGAGTGTCGGGCGCAGTGGCAGTGCCCTTCAGATCTTTGTGATTTAAAGCTCTGAGGGACACTGCAACTGTTATGGACAAACGTATGGCTTATCACCAGACGCACGATTTGTTCGTCCCGTCACTTAGTATAATAATAACAAACCAAGAAATTAAATTAAACTGAGTTTACTTATGTCATTAATTCTTGCTTAAATTTGGCCAAGTTCGTTTTGTAAATACGAAAAACTTGCTTAGTTGGTTGAAGCTCGTGTTATTAATCTCAGCCGTAGTCACCTGTTATATGTATAACTTACACGGTAATATTGCATGATGTTGTACATAGGTATAATACGTACTTGTTCACGAGCTACTAAACGTACAATATGTTTATTTTTTATAGGTGGAGCACATCTTAACGTTCCTAGATGAATTCGCGAAGAATATTGTAGTCCAGGGCGTGCACATGGTGTACAATGCTCAGGTAAAATTTGATTTATATTGAATATTTTGTTTACAAATAAGAAAATAAGAGAAAATGTATGAATGAAAAACTAGTTGTGTTTGACTGTTGCATTTTGTGACAACTTTTAATGGAGTCAACATTTTACGCTAGTCCATTTGTATTGTATAATCTAAGTTCTTTTTTAATACACACATAAGTCGTACAAACAGAAAGAAACAACCTTTCGACCCGACTGGATCCGAACGGCGTGGCTACAAAACTACGGATCGACCCAGCAAATCTTTCGAATTATTCTGTGTTTGTTGCGAATCGTTGTATTGGGTTTAAACGGCTGTTTTGACATAGCGCCACCTGTGAGAACTTATGAAAGTTTCTTCACTCAGCCAGGTACCTTTAGAGCTACCAGAAAATTTACAGAGATGTCGCTATATTAATTGCATTTTTTTTTAATATCATGATGTGTTTACTACCATGATGTTCACCTATTCATTGTGAAAATAATCCACTAGTTTGTTATTATTATTGATACAAATATCGTACAACCACAAACAAAAATAGCTTCGGTCCGACTGGATTCGGACATGGCAAAGTTTTTATGTATGAAATGTATGACTTGCTGGTTGTCCTAAATAAATGAAATAACAAAAGAATGAGACTCTGTTCGATGTACGATAAAATTAACGTCACATAACTTGAAATCGCGAACGATGCTGCCTGTATTGTGCGCAATGGTACCAACAAAAAATTAAATGATAGTTTAGCTGTCATGTTTCAAAGTTCTACAGATGGATATACCTGCTCTTCAGCATAAGCCCAACCAGTGGCCGTAGCATGGCAGTATATGTGTAATAAACCTCCCCATGACAATATTTATTTCAATTGATAAAGCTAAGTTTGCTTATTTGGTAATGAACGACTGTTATACATTTTGAAGAAGAAGGACAACGTTACGATATTGGCGTATATACCTTTGTCGTTTAATCATCGCCGCGAAAACAATGAAACAAAAAATATCGGGTTTTTGTAGTTTCTGTTTTTACATAATTTACATTATATTAGTTATTATTTACGTTTTTCTAAATAATTACTCTCATGTATTGAACTATGTTAAAAATGTTCTGCTCACCTTTTTCGAATAATTTATATAAATCAATTTGTTTGTTTTTACTGTTTCTTTTCTTCTTTTTTCATTTCTTCTCTTTTCATCTCGTTTGTGGTGCTCAATTAATACGTTGTTAAAATTACTGTGCAGAACTGTCAAAATGTTTTAAAATCAACAGTGACCTTGCAGATGGCTGCAAGGTCACTGCTGATTTTAAAACATGCTTGGCACTGTGTTAATCTTTTGCAGTCATTGGTCGCGACCCTCACGATGACTTAAAAATATGACGTCACGGTACTCGCCATGTTAGCTATTGTGATAAAATTTTAAAAGGCCAGTTTATCACTCGAATTTGAGAGTTTAATGTGGATAATAGCTTTATCGAGGCGGCATACTACACGACGAGGGCCGACGTTATTAGCTTAATTTAGTTATCAATATAAGTCGTTGGAGCATAGCACAATGGTGTATGATATTTCAGGGCCACCCCAGCGGCGAGGCGTTTATCCAGATGGACAGCGAGACGAGCGCGTATCTCTGCGCACAGCAGAAACACCATCGGTACATGACCTTCGGCAAGAAGCAGCGGTATATCGAGGTCAGACTTTTGTTGTTATCAAGTTTAGTTATTTTGTGTTGAAATTGGGCAGTGGTAGCCTAATTTATTAGACGTACCGCCTCTGAAGCAGAGGCCGTAGGTTCGAATTCGGGCTCGCACCTCTGAGTTTCTCAAAATATATGGTGAATACCTGCACGTCGATGAAGGTTCATAACCCTTGGAAAACATTTGAAGTTCCCAACTAGCATTGGACAAGCGTGGCGTGGCCTAAACCGTCGCTTGAGAGGAGACCTGTGTCCAGTAGTGGGACTAAATGGGTTGATGATGATGGTGATAATGTTTAAATTGAGTATAATATTGTTTACGTCTTTTGATGGATTTGTTTTTATCCAATGTCAAGAAATTGGATTTGGTTTGAACTGGTTCAACTATCATATTGATTACGAACTGACATTACAAGTTTATACTAAAGAGATATTGGTATAAATAGTTCAAAATCGCAAATTATAAGCGCTACAGTTTGGTGCACTTTATCTAGTAATTTAACAAATTATTCACATCGTCCATAATATCCATATTTCAACATTATTGTGTCCGGCCCATCCTGAGTCGGATGTTATGCATTGGACAAGGTCATTTGCATCGCATTTACCAACAAAACACGTGCAGGTCTTCCAGTGCAGCGGCGACGACATGAACATGGTGCTAACAGGCGGCGTGACCCCAGCCACTTCTCCCAAAGTGCTGTCGCCCGGTACGTTGGTGTCCCCCCCGCCCCCCGTGCACGCGCACGCGCCCCGCCTGCTCGCGCACCACATCGCGCACCAGAGCCTGCTCGCGCGACAACACGAGAACCTGTTACTCGCATCTTTGCGCCCTTCCTGCCCTCCCCTTTTGCCGGTCCTCCCCGCGTATTCCCTCCGCTCTCCTTCCCCCGCAAATCCGTACCCGATTCCTCAAATTTTGCCGCAACAAACAGTTTTGCCGACAAAACGTACTTACGATCGCGCGTTTACTCAAACGGAGTCTACACCCGCGAAGCGCCAATACATCGCCCCGCAGGTTGCGCAACCGAGTATGTCTCTACCAATGTTTTCATACTCTACATCGGCTCCTATGTTTTCCTACGCGAATACAAGCCCTATGTTATCGACGTACGCCAGTGGTCTACATACCATACCTACCGCGTTGCCCGCCGGGTATGGTACAGCCCTATCTGCCGCTCTACCGGGTACTATGACCTCTCCTTTTCCAGCCACAGCGCTTTCTATGTCGATGTTCCCTACTTATCCATATTATCCCGGCGTGTAGTCCATGACGTATGAATAAAGAAAGTTATATCTTAGAATTATTGCAAAGATAACGGCTTTATACGGTCGGCTACTGTACTGGAAATTTAATGTCCTACAGTTAAGCCGAGGTCCTGTTGATAATGAATTAAGAAATGAATTAACATTCCAATATTGTTAATTGAAATCAGTAGGTCCATGTTTATATTTAACAATTAATCATAAAGTAAAACTGAATTGAGAGAATCGACTGCGGATAGTTAAAAACAGGGTAGCAAATGACAATGAAGCTCAAAAAAGTTTCTAAAACTTCATTCGCGGTACTCTACATTAGCTTTACGTGAATTTATTAATCGTAAGACGAATCTTATCATAGATCAGGCAGTTTATAGCAGCTTATAGTTAAGTTAGGACGTAGGTAAACAAAAAAAAATATCACGTGAAGCGACATTGTTCGCGCGTCCATTCAATAGACATACGAATAAATTCCATAGATATGGATGAAGACATTATTTGATATGCGAACATCTATGAATTTATAACATTTTTCATAGTTGGACATAAGCGTGAACCAACTCGAGAGAATCGCTAATCTGCATACTACAGATCGTAACTCTGAAAAAGGTCAAAATTCCATCTTATGTCTGGATGGAATTCCATTCTGCTTATCATCCCGCGCAAGTTGTAAAAGTCGACTGAGGGATGGGATTTAATAGTATCCAATATGCAGGCGAGATTAGTTGTAATTTTTTTTTATACAAATGCGTGTGCGCATTTGACCTCCATCTCACCTGATGGAAAGTGACGATGAGGTCGACGATGGAGCATGCACATCTAAATAATGCCTATCCACTCTCGCCTTGAAAAGGTCCAAGTTATAACGTTCAGGGAACAAGTCTGCTGGTAGGGAATTCCACTCCATAGCCGTTCGCTATATGAATGTGGAAGCATAACGCTTCGTGCGAATGTTTGGAATATCCACAACATAGGGGTGGAATCCAAGCCTACGCCTAGTCCCCCGATGATATAAAAGGGGAGGGTGGAATTAATATCGTGTAATTAAAAAAAAGTGATATATCCTGAAAAATACCGATAAGCAGGCATCTTTACGGTGGTGTTCAAGGTTCTGCCTCTACTAATAGGCGCCTCTACTAATTCCGAGTTACCTTATAAGCCTTTTGGCTTGCTTGTCTATTGAATTGAATATGAAAAAATAGCTGTTTGGTACTCGTCGCGACATTTGGTTTACCAATAGGTTCCAAATACCCGACTACGCTGTCTTGCTTTGCGATTAGCTGTCCTCTTGCGTTATTGGCCCATGGCATAAGACATTATATGTTAAGTCTAAAGCTGTAGTTTGCTTTGGGCTTGAGTTTTTTAAATTTAACAGTTATAGGTTACTTAAAATATTTTTTTGTTGAATATATACTTACTTAATGTTGTTACTGATTATTTAAGTTAAGCGAATTTTACTTTGTTTATCAATGACAAATAATGAATTAGTTAGTTTAGTAGCCCATTTGAGCATATTTCTGCGTCTTTCAAATTTTTATTACTTGCAACACTACCGTTAATTTAGTATCGATCAATATGGATAATATTTACTGTAGTGTTGGTAACCCTTTTGCAATCTCTAACTAGTAACAAACGTATGGAACAGCGTTCTTTGAGACTCAATAGCCAAAATTATTTAAAATCTTTTTAATAAAAATAAATATGAAATAAAAACGACTTCGAAAGTTTGTGGAATTACGACTATTTGCCAAGTTTCAGTAAAATCGGTTAATGGAAAGTGGGTAAAATCCAATAAACCGGTTTCATCCCCTAGTTTCTCACCCTTAAAGGTGGAATATTTTCTTCGAATTTGAATGGAATCACTACTGGGACACCCCTTTTCAACAAAAAAAAAAAAAAAGAATAATGAAATCGGTTCTCAAATATCGGAGTAATCGCGTGACATACTAACAACAAAAAAAACAGGCGAATTGAGAACGTCCTCCTCTATTTGAAGTTGTTCAAAAAATATTAAAGAATCTAAAAATAAATTACCCGCAGGAAATATTACTTTAGTTAAAATATTTAGGTTAGTGTGTGATCATACGTTAATATAAGCTTTTTAAAAAATTATAGACATTCCATAAAAAAGACAATTTGCCTATTTTTCCAAAGGCTGAAATTTTGTGGTACTTACGGCAGTTTTTAGGTACTTAATATTTTTGTGAGTACAATGCACTTTTTTGTAGTTTACACGTTTTTTATATATGTAAAGTAAGTGTTTTTTTTAATGTATAGTAATATTGTTTTTTTTGCACATGCAAACGAAGTGATTATTAGGAATTGCGTGCATATTTTTTCGATCGTGGTAGTTTACTTATATTTAACTTATAAAAGTGTCCTTTTTGTCCAGTCCCGTCCATTATTTCCTGACGTATTCCATCAGGTTTCTCGTTGTATAATGTTCACATAACATTTGTCTAAAGCATTAAACTCCACTTAGCTTACCGTCATCGTTCAGTGACCTCACACCACATAATATTTAGTCATATCGCTCTGTTTTGTTTACAGGTTTTTTTGGGCATATTTCTGAGAAAAAAGTGTTGTGGGTCAACTAGCATGACACACATTATTTATTTTCAAGACTTTTGTCCCAATGATGTGTTTCAAACTGGCTGACCCTTTGAATGTTTAATTTTTAACGGCTGACAAGTAACTTTTGAACTCTAAAATGGTATCGCTAATTGACTTAAATACCACATAAAAAAAAGTTGTTCCGCTGCTACGCTGTTATCATTACTGGTTTATATTACTTCCTGTGTTTATTATATCTAATATTTCGGCTGAGGACTTGCATCCAAAGTCATGAAATAAATTGATATTTATATTGACAGTACACAAAATTGGTTCATCGAAATTCAAATTCAATGTGCGGGGTCAAAATGTTGTCAGCCTTAAAAAATCAGGAACCTGCCTCAAAATTGGGTAATCTGTACATTGGACATCTAGACTATAGTAAAGTCATGTGTATGGTGTTGCCATCGTCTGATTCACATAGGTATGGAGCTTAGTCACAAGTACACGGTGTAATGGCTAATCTATGTTCTGTCATTTCTAAATTACTCATTGGCTATGGGTGTAAATGCGAACTTTAACATCTACTTGTATCATTTTGGCGTATAACGACGTAAAGACACTGATCATATGATCGCGTGTATTCAACCAAACTTGCAATCATTGGTGTATATACGTCAGACGTATATGCCAAAATTATACAAGCGTGGTATCTAATAACACAAATTTATATTTACACAAAGTATTTAGATTCTTTTTGGTAAACAAAAATTTTTTTTGTCAAAAAGACGATGTTCACATTCAATTCCAAGCCATGAAATGTTGGTAATAAAAAACATTTTCCGAAATCCAAACTATTGATATTAGTCTAGATTTACGCAAACAGTGTTTAGTGGTAAAATATTTGTAATCTGGTGTATCCGACGGTATGTGTTATGGAAAATGTGCATGTAACGGTAAGTTCTTTCACTCGTTTAAATTTTACGTGTCATTCGAAATTTGGGTGTGGCATGGTCCGCTTATGTTTTAAAAAAGGAACAGGGTTGCATGTCTCCAGACTATTTTTTAATTCCTATATTACCCGTTTATAACTTTTTTAATTATGTGCTCATACTGGCAGTATGGCTTAGAAGCATTAGCCTGTCCCGAAGGACGAAAAATTTTACTATTAATTGTACTCATATTTTAGATTTTGTTTATCGTACTTTGTTTATTATTGGTATTGGTGGCGAGGTTAACTTTACAAAGTTTTTATTACATTTCGAGGTTATTTCATCCCATAATTTGTCAATAATCTAATAAATTAAAAAATTTTTCATACGGATACGGGCTATTTATCGACGATACTCATGTGATTTTTTTAAATTGGACATAGTTCGACAGCTTCACCAAATAAACGGTTATTATGAAAACACTAACTATACAGGAGAAACAAAAAGAGTAAAAACTTTAATAACTAGGCACTTGATGGTTTTATTTCGAAAAATGTGTGACGAAAACCACGCAAATAAATTAACCTGTGTTTTTACATCGTAAATAAATTTTTGATAATTTTTAGATATGCGTGCGTAATTTATATCTATTTAAAAAAAAACATTAAAATGTTTCTATTCTTGCATGAAAGAAAATTTGCACAGACACACATAATATTTACATGACAACTAACATAGTATTATCTCAAAAATTTCGTTTTATATTTTATAACGCAATCTTTGAGATAATACCTACTATGTTACCTAGTTGTCATGTGTGAACGATATATAATATTATAATATTGTAAATAATATTGTAAGTAAACTAAAAAAAATCAAGTTTTTTGGGGGGAAGTCTATGTCGTATTTTATATTATATTAATGATATCTTAAAATTGATATCAAAGGCATTGAAAGATTAAATA